GTAAAGAAATGGGCATAGACTGTGGGGCCTCGCTCAGTGAACAAAATACCTTCATTGGAGACAGGTCAGACACAGAGACAGAGACAGAGAGACAGAGACAGACGGAGACAGAGAGACAGAGAGACAGAGACGGAGAGAAAGAGAGAGACAGAGAGACAGAGACGGACGGAGACAGAGACAGAGAGACAGGGAGACAGAGAGACAGAGACAGAGACAGACGGAGACAGAGACAGAGACAGAGAGACACAGACACAGACGGAGACAGGTAGATAGAGATAGAGACAGGGAGAGATAGAGAGACAGAGAGACAGACACAAACGGAGACAGGTAGAAATAGAGACAGGGAGAGATAGAGAGACAGAGACAGGGAAAGAGGCATAGAGAGAGACAGAGAGACAGCCAAGGATGGAGACAGATAGACGGACAGAGACAGAGAGACAGACAGAGAGAGAAGGAGACAGACACAGACAGAGAGACAGAAGCAGAGAGAAACAGAGGGAGCAGCAAAGGTAGCAGCAGCAGCAGCAGCAGCTGTAGGGTTGTAGCTGCTGCGGTGTCTCCGCAGGTGGAGACAGCTATCGGCGGAGGAGAAGAGAAGCTTTCAGTCGCGGGCGCGGGAGGCCAACGAAGCGTGGAAGAAGCAGCAGCTGGAGCAGGAGCTGCAGCAGCAGCAGCAGCAGCAGCAGCAACAGCAGCAGCAGCAGCAGCAGCGGTCACAGCAGCAGACGCCACCAAACAGCTCCAAACAGAACGCACATCTTCATACCCCGCTGCCGCCGAGTATACAGCAGCAGCAGCAGCAGCAGCAAGCCCAAGCGCAGAAGCAGCAGAAGCAGCAGCAGCCAGTTGCTGCACCGCAACAAGTCCAGGCAGCAAGGGGGCAGCCGCAGCAGCAGCACCGCCTGCCGCCGCAGCAGCAACTGCAGCAGCAGCAGCTGCAGCACCAGCAGGCCTCGGCAGCCCTGCAGCAGACGCCTCAGGCAATGCCCCCGGCCTTCCGACATGCCCAGCAGCAACAGCCGCAGCAGCAGCAGCAGCAGCAGCAGCAGCAGTGGCTGCTGCAGTCCGCGAGCTCCCCTACTGGAGTGCTGCGGGGCCCCTTGCCAATGGATGCCTCAGCTTCTGCTGCAGCAGCTGCTGCTGCGCCTGGGCTGTGTGGTGGCCCTGCTGCAATGCTTGCCCCGCTGCAGCAGCATCCACGACAGCAGCAGATGCAGCAGCAGATGCAGCAGCAGATGCAGCAGCANTTGCCCCGCTGCAGCAGCATCCACGACAGCAGCAGATGCAGCAGCAGATGCAGCAGCAGATGCAGCAGCAGATGCAGCAGCAGATGCTGCTGCCGCAGCAGATGCAGCCCCACAACATGCTCAACCCAGACATGGGCTGGCAGCAGCCGCAGCACGCGCTGCAGCGGCCTCCAGCCTATCGGCAGCATCCAGGCCAGATGCAGCAGGTGATGCAGCAGCAGCAGCAGCAGCAGCAGCAGCATGCAGTGCCGCGTCCCCTGAATGTATCGAGCTCGCCGCCTGCTGCTGCTGCAGCTTTTGCTGCTGCACCGAGGCAGCTGGACACAGAGGTGGAGCACAAGGGTGGCGTGCCATCTGCTGCAGTTCAGCACCAGCCCTACTTTGCTTCACCGCAGCAGCAGCAGCAGCAGCAGCATCACCAGCAGCAGCAACCGCAGCAGCACCTAGGCGTCCCTCTGGGGGGCCCCCATCGATGGCCAGAAGCTGATGCTGCTGCGCCTCCGCCGGGGCCCCCCGCCTTCTCCTACGTGCAGCAGCACGGGGCTGCCCCGCCCAGCTCGCCGAGCAGGGGGCACAGCCGCCGGGCTGCTGCTGCTGCTGCTGCTGCTGCTGNAAGGCTGAGGTGCCAGCAGCTGCTGCGACCGAGAACGAAGCCGGTAGCAGCAGCAGCAGCAGCAGCAGCAACAGCAGCAGCAGCAACAGTAGTAGTGGTGGTGGCGGTGGCGGGGCAGATGGAGAGGATAAGTGTATGGCTGAAATCGCTGCTGCTGCTGTCGCTGCAGCTAGCGAAGCAGCAGCAGCAGCAGCAGCTGCTGCTGCTGCTGCGAAAGAACTCTTGCGGGCCGTTCCTGATGAAGATGACGCCGCTTGGGAGCTGCAGCAGCAGCAGCACGAAGAGACAGTGCAGCAGCAGCAGGAAGAAATTGCCCAGCTGCGTCAGCAGCAGGCGCGCATGCATCTCGAAGCAGAGAAGGAACTTAACAGCAGCAGCAAGAGCAGCAGCAAGAGCAGCAGCAAGCAGCACCGCCGTCTCCGTCTTGCTGCTGCAGCAGCCACGGACCCAGCAGCAGCAAGCAGGTCTTCTAAAGGAGCTCAACGCCATAGCGTCAGCAGCAGCGGGAGGAGCAGCAGCGTAGATACAGTCGAGACCATCAGCAGCAGCAGCAGCAGCGAGAGCAGCAGCAGCAGCAGCGAGAGCAGCAGCAGCAGCAGCAGCACAAGCGATGAATCCGAAGAGTCAGCGGGTAAGTCTCTCCCTATTTGTCTCCTACTGCTGTTGCTGTTATTTCTTTTGTTGCAGCAGCAGCAGCAGCTGCTGCTGCTTATAATGCTGCATTGATATTCATTGTCGCTTATTTGCTGCTGCTGCTGCTGCTGCTGCTGCTGCTGCTTGTCTGTGGGTGCGGATCAGCAGCTTCAGCAGACAGCAGCGACGAGGAGTTCGTCCCCACACGGGGCCGGCCCCGCACTGCTCGCCGTCTTCGCAAGGCAGCACCTGCTGCTGCTGCTGCTGCTGCTCCTGCTGCTGCTGCTGCTGCTGGAAAGGGCAGGAGGGGCCGCAGAAGCGCAACGGGGAGCAGCAACACAGCAGCGCGAGGAAGGGGACGAAGGAGCTGTGGCAGCAGCCGCGACAACCGCAACGCTGATGCTGCTGCTGCTGCTGCTGCTGCAGCAGGAACATCTGCTGCTGCAGCAGGGGAAACGGCCCCACAGGCTGACACTGCAATTCAGAAGACAGCAGCGGGTGGCAACAGTACGTCGTCTGCTGCTGCTGCTGCTGCTGCTGCTGCTGCTGCTGCTG